GCCCACGCCCCCGTTCTAGCTCCTGCCACCACTGCCCCCCCCCGCCACCAGTCTCGGGTACGAGACGTGCTCGATAACGCAGCCCGATTTAGCCCCCGAGGGAGGGCCGCCGCCACCGCCTCCACCCACCTGCCTTTGAATTACGCGCTCGCCCCTTTTCCGACCATTCCCCATCCCGGTCGGTGGAGATGTGTTGCAACTGCAGTCGCTCAGCTTTTGAGGCTGTCTCGGTTTCCGAACTCCACCACATTCTTTGGGACAACTGCATAGAACTGTTACATTGCACTCAAACGTAATTGATTTCTGCACTCCCTGCGTTTTTTGATTTCGGTGTCCTGCTCGTCCTAATTGACCTATCTGGCCTAAGTGTGCTACATTATTTTCCTCCTATTCTGCCCCCACACAACTTCCGCCGTTCTGCCTCTCTGCCCCATTGCGTTTGCGTACTCTTTTCTCCAATATCCTCTTTTTTTTCTCGGTACCATAGTTCCTTCGACACTCACCAGCTTTCAAACCCCGTCCTCCGATTCACCACTTCTTCACCTTGACAACTTTTCAAGCGCCAACGTCTGCTTTGGTAACTTCATTTTCCTCCTATCGCCCACCTCTAGCCTCGCCCTCGCCACCTCCCCCTTCTCCCGCCCTCATCGCCCGTGCCCTCCTCCGCATTGCCAACCCATCGCCCACCTCCAGCCTCGCCCTCGCCACCGCCCCCTTGTCCCGCGTTCACATCGTCAATCCCCTCCTCTTCATTGCCATCACCACCACTGCCGTCGAAGCTATCATCGCCAGCGCAGTCATTGTCGCAGTCGCTCCCCCCCCCCCGTCGCCACTCCCGTCGTCCCCCTCGCCGTCTGTCGCACTGCGAGTATTCTGGTGCGCGCGCGCGTCGCCGCCGAGGTCACGACCCCAGCGCCGGCAGTTGTTTTTACTTCTTGCGTTCTATTTAGAAGTCCGTCTTCCCTGCCTGCTGCTCTCCCTCCCCCCTCCGCGCCGCCCGCGACTCGTCCAACTTCCGCTTTTGAGAGGAGACATCGCCGCGCGACAAGCCGCTCCCGCGCTGTCTTCGTCGGAGTCCGTAAAATTTCGCTGCACCCAGCACCGGATGACACTCCTTTGATGCTTTTCGTTCTGCGAAGAAAGCGAGCTCTGGATCTGTTATGAAAAAAGTACACATTGTTTCTACGATAGCAGAAGTTGCCGTCTTTGTACTAACAGTCGAGGCGTTTTGAATACGTATCTCTCTTTCCTAAAATAGATATTGGTGTGTTGTGCTGACTCACTAATTAAACCTTCTTCTTATCACGGTGAATTCATTTTTCTGGGCTCTAATCTTGATAATAAACGTGAATTTATCTCCTAGCACAACTGAAGACACAATTGCACAACCGAAAGAAGAAGGTACACCATTTTCATACTAACTTTGCTAATGTGTAGAATCCGCTCAAAAGTTTATTTCGGCCTTGAAAGCAATGCATCAGGCTGTAGGTATAGAAGTTGCAACAGTTCGCTTGTGCTTCACGTTATTGCCGTTCTGATAATAAAATGCATGACTTGAGAATTCAAAATGATTCGCCTGATTTTACGTGATCTTAAAACGCTAGAAGGCAATGCAAAATCTCTTCAGGTAGTACAGAAATTATTCTATGTATCAGTGGCTAAGTTGTGTCCGCACCTCATACGTTCATTACATTTTATTTAAATGAAAAAAATATAGATCTCAGTAACTAATTATTAAATGTTACAAAAACCCCATTTTGGAATTTTAAAAACCATTTATATTGTAAACTGGCTTTTAAAAAAATGAGGCATCGAATTGACCTAGAGAATCTCTTTATTCAGTACGTGATTAAAACACACGTTTGTTCGGAAACCAGCTCCCGCGTTCAACTGGCTTGTTTTGCAACAGCGGCCTTTTGCACTGGGTGTCGTTGACGTGCCGCCGGAAGTTACCTGTGAGGGGTTTCGAGGAAGCAGATAAGCGGCGTTCCCAAACACGAACGCCAAAGGGGCAATCATTGCGTTAGTGTTGACACAGCGCGATACGCCGAGACCCGCCGATCATATTGGATAGGATATCGCATCGCCTGATAAAGCTCCATTTTTGTTTTCTGGCTGCACATATGGATCTCTTGGAGTGTTCTGTGAAGGACGTTCATGATGGAGAACAATTATAGAGAATAGGGATATCCCTG